CTAGACTGAATTCGGTCTGGTGTACCTAAATTCAGGCCATTTGGTCCACAATTAACCCTTATTCGATTGAAAATATATATGTGAGCAATATCTATATTTGAACCGATTCTCACCAATTTCACTAGGGTTCGTCCTTGGGACAAACAAATATTATTTGGAAAATTTAATTTCAATCGGATAATAAATGCGACCTGCATTTTGTTTACAAAAATACAAGGACAGACGGACTAACATGTATAAATCGACCCAGAAAGTGATTCTGGATACAGCTAATTGAGGATACAGCTAAAAACTTGAAATTTGGTATGAGAATAAATGTGAATGTGGTTTTGTATATGTGTACTATAATTGTACGAAAAGTACTTAATGGTACTATATTTGGTATTGGGTGAAGAGATATGGCTGGAATCCCGATATTTGATATCGAGATATCTGTTGTCATCTGGAATTAAGGTATAATGGTGGTTTCGGAAATGTGTGCTATAATTGTACGAAAAGTACTGAATGGTACTAACTTTGGTGGTAGGTTTATTATAAGGATGTGGTTTGGAAATGTGTACTACAAGTGCATCAAAAGTACTAAATAATACTGTACCTGGTACAATTTAGTATTGGGTGGATATATAACACCTGAAATCTTAAATTAGGATGGCCTTTTATGTATAGCCTGGAACAAAATGTACTAATTTGGTATTGGGTGAAGGGATATGGCTGGAATCGTCAAATATGATATTGAGGTCTCTGTTGGTATCTGGATTTGAGATATGAAAGTTGTTTTGGAAATAGTTACGAAAATAACTAAATTTGTTTTTGGGGCAAGAAATAGAGCTGAAATTTGATATAGATGTCACTTTAGGTATATGTGGTTAAGAAGGAGCTGGTTGTGAATAAACGGGCTAAATTTGTACGAAAAGTGCTATATGGTACTATATTTGGTCTTGATTACAGGCATAGAGATACAATTCTGAAATTTGATATTTAGGTATCTGAGTTTGAGGTTTGGGTTTGGTATTAGCGATAGAACTGAAACCGTGAAATTTAAAGTTACGGTAACCGATGGTATCTACTTCTAGACGGGTTTTGCATATGAGTCCTAAAATTATACGAAAAGTACTAAATTTGGTATTGAGTGAATGTATTGTGTATTACAATTGGGCGAACATTACTATATAGTATTAATTTTGGTTCAATCTTGGTGTCTAGGCTGGAGAGATGTAAATTGATTTGGATATGCATACTAAATGTTACTTAATTTGGTACTGGACAATGGGATCGAGCAGAGATTCAGAAATTTAACATTGGGATCACTGCTGATTTTTAGGGTTTTGGAACGAATCTGGAAATTTTAAAAAAATAAAATCCTTAAAAAATTCTGTTAAATTTTAAAAATATCGAATATTGCCGTTATATTGGGGTCTATACGACGTGGACCTACATAGGCATTGTTTGCCATTAGCAATTACCATATTCAAATTCGAAACTTGAAATAAACGGTGAATAATATAGCTAAAATCATCAAAATATCGTATATAGGGAGGTACCATTATATCGGAGCTGTGCGAAGACCTGGACCAGCATAGACAATTTTCTGTCAAAGGCTATAGCATCCATTACTAACGTCAAATACGATATCTCAAACAATTTCGGTGGGTATTGTACCTAAACTCGTCAAAATACCGAATATAGGGAGGTACCGTTATATGGGGGCTATACGAAGACCTGGACCTGCATAGACATTTTTCTGTCACAGACTGTAGTTCCCATTACGAACTCTAAATACGTAATTTGAAACCATTCCGGCGAATAATGGCGTTAAAATCATCAAAATACCTAATTTTGGGAGGTACCGTTATATGGGGCCTATACGAAGACGTGGACCTGCCCTGATAATTTTCTGTCATAGGCTGTAGTATCCATTTCGAACTTCAAATACCAATGTTAAAACAATTCCGGTGAATAATGTCGCTAAAATCATCAAAATACCGAATATCGGGAGGTACCGTTTTTTGGGGGCTATATGAAAACGTGGACCTACATGGCCCATTTATGAACTTAACCTGCCTACTGGAAAAATAAACACGTGTGCAAAATTTTAGCCTTCTATCTCAATTTGTTCGAAAGATAGCGTGATTACAACAGACAAACATACAGACGGACAGACAGACGGACGGACATGGCTAAATCGTCTTAGAATTTTACACTGATCAAGAATATATATACTTTGTTGGGTCTGACATGAGTATTTCGAGGAGTTACAAATGGAATGACAAAATTAATATACCCTCCATACTCTGGAGGGTATAAAAAGAAGATACCTATATCGGCGTTTTTAATATTTACATCGCAACATAAAAAGACCCTCCTTTTCCATATTTTTTAGAAATTCGCAAATTAAGATTACTTGGATTCCGTTGGTTTCAGCTATGTAGCTGCTTGGGCAATATTGCATATTAAACCAGTAAGGAAAGGTCAAAAGTCGGACGTGCCGACTTTATGATACCCTACATCACTATGCGTATTTAGTAGAGCTCGCGTAACAAAATATTTTATATTGAATTAGATCTAGGCTGAATTCGGTCGGAAATGCCAAAATTCAATCCATTTGACATTAATCGTTTAGTGCACAATAAACCTGAAATTGGATAAGGATATACATGACAGCTATATCCAAATCTGAACCGATCTTGAAAAAATTCGAAAAACTTATTTCAGAGCTTTATCTGATGTCCGGTATCAAATATCATTGTTGTTGGGATTTAAACCCCAAATCCGATAAAAACATATATATGAGAGCTATGATATATCTAAACCGATTTTCACCAATTTTGAACTACTTGTTTCTAGACCAAATTCGGTCGGAATTGCCAAAATTCAGTTACGGAGTGCATATTACGGCTGTGGGTAACAAATATATCAAATCGGTTAAACAATATATATGGGAGCTATATCGAAATCTGAACAGAACTAGATAAATTTTGAAACAAGTATTGATGGGCTGTATCTTATATATGATACCAAATATCATTCCTGTGGAGTGCATACCACGAATGTGAGGGTCTCAAATACCAAATCGGATGAAATATATATATATATATATATATATATATATATATATATATATATATATATATATATATATATATATATATATATATATATATATATATATATATGTATATGTATATGTATATGGGAGCTATATCCGTATCTGTGTATATTTGATGTACTTGCTTCTAGACTGAAATCAATCTGGTATGCCAAAATTCAGGTCATTTATACTGATATTGGCCATTTGGTGCACAATTAACCCAAAATCGGTTGAAGATACAGGGTGAGATAAAAAACTGCACCAAAGTCAAATGCCATAATTTTTAATTTTTTTTTAAATTTTATTGAATGAAAGCAAAAAATGTCGGAAATAGCATCAAATTTTAAAATAACCTTAGATTTGGTCACCTTTGGCACGAACTATAGCCTTCAAACAACCAAATGCTGCCCGAATGTTGCTCTGCGGTATATTGGCCCATTCCCGGCGAAGCGCTTGCTTGAGGTGATCGACACTTTGGAGATTTTTTAGTGCCAACATTGTTTTCAAAAATTCTTCAGACACAATAGACCTACGGATTGGTATCCGGAGATTTTGGTGGCCATTGTGCGCTGGAAATGAAGCGAGGATCCTCATTTTTTAACCATTATTGGGTGGCGCGTGCTGAGTGCAATGGTGCTGAGTCCTGTTGGAATGTCCAAGGTCTGCGGCCAAAATGTTTGAGTGCCCAAGGTTCCCTCCAGAATATTTTCGCGATAATATTCGGCATTTATTCTGATGCCATGGTCGATTAATTCGAGCGGATAGTGACCATCGGCTGTTATGGCGGCCCACACCATCAGCATGGCCGGCGCTTGAGTTCTGGTGGCCAACCGAAGTTGCACTTTTTCAGCTGACATCTTTGGCAACTAAACACGATCATTTTGTTTGTTTACAAACTGCTGGACAATCTCATCGGAATGTTTCCTCATCGGAGAAAACCAAATTCGACAGTTCACAACTTTCGGCCAAGCAAAGCAACTCTTTAGCTATTTTGAGTCTATTTTCTTTTTGTTGCGGTGTAAGTTCTTGCACTTTTTGGAATGTCAATGGCTTTACCCAGAGTTAATTTTTCAATAATTGCCGAATGGAATATTGCGATATGTTCAGCTCACGATCCATTTTTTCGTCACTGCGACGCGGGTTTTGATCAAGTCGATTCTTTACTTTTCGAACCATTCCTGCTAATGTTGCTTTTTTCTTTCGTCCACTTCCTTGACGTCGGCCTACGCTACCTGTATTACGGTCACGAGTGATGTTACGAGACACAAAAGATCTTTTCACATTTAAATGCTGGAGTGCTCTAACGATAGTCACTAGTGGTTTTCCAGCCAAATATAAAGAAATCACGCTTGAATTCCATCACGAATAACTTTTTTTCTGGAAAATTCTCACCAAAATGATTTTGTACGCTTGTAAACAATATAATTAGCTGTCAATGGAATAATTTAAACAGCTGTAGGACGAGTGGCTTAGAAATGACAGCAGTCTGAAGTTGGTTGCAGTTTTTTTCATCTCACCCTGTACACACTTTGTTAGGTCTACAATATTTATTTAGATGGGTTACAAACGGAATGATGGCCTTAGTATACACCCCATACTATGTATGGATGTGGAGGATATTAAAAAGAAGGAAGAAAATATTTTTTATTTCATATTTTCATAGAATCCATCCCTTGAACTCCAGGCCATTTCGTTTTAGCATCATTCGCACATATATAGGTACATATACACATTCGAACGTATACTAATGAATACATTGCTACGTCTTAAAGCAACAAATAGTTTTATCTGTCATCTTCAGACTAGCCCAGTAGATCCTGGCAATTTATATGTTGCCAATCCACCATATTGGTACCCTGAAGTTGTCTCCCTCACCCCAATAAAACAAACCTGTATTCGCATCCAAATTATTCTATAGCCGCTTACCAGCTTTAGTGATTTCAAATTCCAATATAATGACAAGAAAATTAATCGAATAAGCTAACAAGAACAAAGCGAATTCATTGTGCAAAATAAATAAATTTAAAATTGAAAACTTTTCGATTTGGGGCCACAGGACACTCGACTCTACCATGATAAATATCTGGGGCATCTGGAAAATTAAAAAAAAAAAAACATCTCCATTAAAACCCCTCCTTCAAATTCAAATATCAATTTGATAGCACTAACATTTAAATGTGAAATACCTTAAAAAAATACTGCTCTTCACGGTTCAAGAATAGATCACTCACTTTACGCTGGCTACGATCGCACAGATATGCCATAAGGATAATTGAATACAGTTCCAAGGATACGCTCACAAGATACATAATGAAAGTGGTATACACCCGATCCGTGGTCACATAGTAATCCAAGAAGGCATAAATATTACAGAGAATGGTAATAAATTTAATCAACATCATTATGAAGATGCCAAACTGCAAGGTGTTGACGAACAGCGAAATTAAACGCTGTAAGGCGTTCTGCAGCGTGATAAGCCGTAGCATTTTCAAATTACTGGCAATATTTTCAAAATGGGTTAGCTGGCGTTCCAATTGCAGTGACATTGTGAGCAGGCCTAAAATTGCCGTAAATATGGCAAGGCCGAAGATCGAGGTCAAATGTTGCATTGCCACCAGGGCCACAAAGGCGCAAATATCAGTTCCCGACAAACGTGATGCCCCGGTAAACAAAAACGGCAAACACATCAGCAGATCATAACAGGTCAGGCCAACCTTCACCATCAGAGCCAAAAAGGTTTTGAAATTTATAAAATCGTGTTCGTAAAAACGCATTTTCTCTGTTATGTCAACGAATGAATTCAAAATCTCCACCAATTTGTTGCGATGCCAAATTTGTGCCGACATTATCAGCAGAGTTCCAATCACATCCGTTAACATAGTGAACTGGGCAATTCTCTTGAATAGTGTATCTTGATCCTTGCGCGAGGTGTCATAGAGATCGGGAATAATTTTGGCCAAAAATGGTGTCACCACAATGAGCCCCACACAAAAACTCACTGCCACACCGGTGAACACGCGATGGGTGCGGAAATGAAGGCGTGACGACCCCGACGAACTTTTCTTGCGTTCAACCACAAATGGGCCCAACAATGTCAGCTGGTCACAGAATATCATGACACGTATTACAGCGAAAAATATTTTATTCCACAAGTGTCGAAGTTTTGCCATTAGCGTCGGTGGAGGGTCGTCGGATGGGGACTCGGCACAGTAACGCAATTGTCGTGGTGACATCTTGTTGTCGTCCATTTGTATTTGATGGATGAGCAAATTAATGAGTTGCTGTAATGAAATTAAGAAAATACATACAGTGGTTGAGATTAGCTTGCAAGGTATGGGGGGTATGGGGAAGATGAAACTTTCAGAGAAAAAATTAGTTATGAAACAATCCCTTATAGTGTGCAGGATTAAGGTAAATGTTATTTCATGAGAACTAACGTTGGATTCCTACATAATGGTCAGTATTGAGATATGGCGGGATCTTAAATTGCCCATAACTCCTTAAATATCGAGTTTACGGTGTTTTAGATATAGCTCTCAAATGTATATCTTCAATCGAAATCGGGTTAATTGTGCACCAAATGGTCAATATCAGTCCAAATGACCTGAATTTTCGCACATCCAGAATTCAGGCTAGAAGCAAGCACATAAAATTTGGAAAATCAGTTCAACTCCCATATATATGTTTCATCCGATTTGGGGTTTTAAGTCCCTCACATTTGTAATATGCACTCCGCAAGTATTACACTCGTTACCAGAGAGCTTATGGAACTCAAAAATACCTCTGTCAAATTTAAGAAATAAGATTAGGTTTATTTTACACCAAATGGCTAATATCAGCCCAAATGGATACCGCTCGAAACAACATCTGCCAAATTTTATCGAGATCGGTTCCGATTTTGCGGTTATTTCTCACCATACAGGTGAGATTAAAAAACTGCCCTTAAAAATTGCAATTAACTGTCATTTCTAAGCTACTCGTTCGACAGCTGTTAAAATTATTCCAGTGACAGCTCATATTATTCATAATCAAGTAGTGGACGGAAGAAAGCAGCAACATCAGTAGAAAAGGTTCGAAAAGTAAAGAAGCGACTTGATCGAAACCCGCGTGGCAGTGGCCGAAAAATGGATCGTGAACTGAACATATCGCAATATTCCATTCGGCAAATATTGAAAAACAAGTAAAATAGTATTGGTTGGTTTTGCCAACAGATGTATACTCTTAGCCAATGTTCGATTATTTAAAAATATTTTGATTTCTGTTATGATTATTCAAATGTTTAACCCCTTATGCAGTAGGTTCATATGGAATGGACCAATATTGGCCATTTCGTATCGGACTTAAAAAAATATGATATAAATATTGCGAGGGGCTTGGTTTGGACTGTGTTGTGTTGATGGAAATGTTGGGATATACAAAGTCTTGAATGGAATTGGATGTCAATTTCGCTCTTTATAAGCTTCATGGATATTCAAAATTTTGAGCCTTTGTGGGGAGGTACCAGATGAGGTGGACCGATTTATCCCATCTTCACAACGGACCTTTTGTTAGTGGAAATAGTGGGATGTGTGAAATATAAAGAGAACCTGTTACTTATTTCGGATTTTATAAACGTTTTGGTTATTCAAAACTTTGACCCTTTGTGGTGGAGTTACCAAAAGGAATGGTCCAATCTCAACATTTTTTAACAGATCCTGTGTTGATAGAAACATTCAGATGTGTTGAGTCTAAATAGAATCAGATGTTAATTTCGCGTTTTTTGAACTTAATGGTTATTCAAATTTTCGACCTTTTGTGGGGAAGGAGTACAAGAAGAAGAAGGTACAAGAAGGAGTGGACCGATATATTCCATCTTAACAGCAGATGTTGGGTTTATAAAAATATTGGGATGTGTAAAATTTGATGACAATGGGATTCTTACATCACATTTTATAAGACTTATTATCATTCAAAATTTTGAACATTTGTGGGGGAGGTACTTGCTAGAGTGGACCGATATTTTCCATTTTCACACCTGACCTTGCACTGATGAAAATATTAGAATTCGCAAAGTCCGAGCGAAATCGGATTATCCTTTCTCTTTCTGTGCAATAAATTATTTTCTTTTAGAATTTTGACATTTTGTGTCGGAGGTACCAGAAGCAGTTAACCGATATTACCCATCTCCGAACTCGATCTAAGTTTGAGAATAATATTACGATGTACCAACTTTGGATCAAATCGGATACTCCCTACGAGAGTTATCGTGCGCACCAGCCAGACAGACAGACAAACAGACTAACATAGCTAGATCGACTCCCAATGTCCTGAAACGGATTTGATCCAAAGAGACCAAGATCTAAAACCGTTATTTCGATCTGTAACCATATGCCTTTGAAATTCCAAAAAGTGCAAGAACTTACACCGCAACAGAAAGAAAATAGACTCAAAAGAGCTAAAGCCTTGGGCACGCAAACATTTTGGCCGCAGACCTTGGACATTGCAACAGGACTCGGCACGCGCCACCCAAGAATGGTTACAAAATGAGGTTCCTCGGTTCGTTTCCAGCGCACACTGTCCACAAAAATCTCCAGATACCAATCCGTTGGACTATTGTGTCTGGAATATTTTGGACAGCAAGGTTGGCACTAAAAAATACCAAAGTGTCGATCACCTCAAGTAAGCGCTTCGCTGCGAATGGGCCAAAATACCGCAGAGCAACATTCGGGCAGCTTGTGATGGTTTCATTGGCCGTTTGAAGGCCATAATTCGTGCCAAAGGTGACCAATTCGAAAAATCTAAACTTATTCTAAAATTTGATGCTATTTTCGATACTTTTTGCTTTCATTCAATAAATTAAAAAAACAGTAAAAAAAGCTATAAGTTCGTCTGGACCGAACTTTGAATACCCTCCACCGTTTGGAAAGAATTTAGCAATTTCCAAAAAAATAAAATCCGGTAAAAATTCTGTTAAAATCTTAAAAATGCCGAATGTGGTCGTATATTAGGGTCTTTACGACGATGTGGACCTGCATAGGCGACTTTTGTCACAAGCTATTACAATATTCAAATGCGAAACTTGAAAAAAGTATGTTTACAATGTAGCTAAAATCATAAAAATACCGAATATAGTGAGGAACCATGGGGGTTACAAAATGTGGATCTCCACAGACAATTTTCTGGTATAGGCTGTAGTATCCATTATGAACTTCAAGTACCAAATTTGAAACAATTCCAGTAAATAATGTCGCTACATGACCCATTTTCAATACCAAAAGTCCTGCAGACATAATATACATATGAGTAAAATTTTATCAACCTACTTCATTTCGTTCGGAAGCTAGAGTGATTTCCACAGACGGACAAATGGACACACAGTTTGATTTTAGCATGAATTATTGAATATTTTAAAATGGCCATAACTCCTTAAATATTGAGTTTTCGGCGTTTTTAGCTATTATTTGTGATCACTTTTTAAGGCACGAATTATTGAATATTTTAAAAAGCCCATAACTCCTTAAATACTGAGTATGAATTATTGAATATTTTAAAAAGCCCATAACTCCTTAAGTATTGAGTTTTCGCGCGTTGAGCTTTCAACTATTTAGTTGTCGTTCAAATACTTGCCGTTTGTCACTCATTTGATGGTTTGTCAAAGGGGTTTGCCCTTTCATTACCCACTTGTTGTCGGCAAGTCTATCTATGCCTTTAAATAATAATTTCCCAAATGAATTGTTTACAAAACCAGTAGCCGATAACAAAAGTAATAGGCATGGCGTCAAATTAAATTGACCTTTGAATATTTTCCAATTATTTTAAAAGTTTTTGCCTTACAGACAATAACACTGTGTAACAAAAAAAAAGAAAAATAATAATAATAATAAATAAATAAAATAAAATATAAATTCTTAGAGGAAAAACTGGAAGGCAAGAGTATCGGCGTTTTGAAAGTTTGCATTTCTAAGCTACATAAATACATAGAGGAGGAATGTTGCACCATCTTCCAAATTTTTTGTTTTTAAAATTCCGGTATAGAATTTGTTGAAATCTTTACATTTTTGGTATAGTAGAATTACTAATAATAAAACGAAAATTATTTTGGTAGAAAATTTAAACCCAAAAGGGAACTTATGATATTTTGTTTGTAACCCTAACTTCCTTTAAATGACATCGTAACAATCCAAAATATTCATCAAAATTATTATATTCTACAGAATATATGTAAACTCTAAACTTTCTATATTTCGCAGTCGATTGTGTCGTAAATTAATAAAACATGTTTAAAAGTATCAGTCGGTTTTGCCGACAGATATATACCCTCAACCAATGTTCGATTTTTTAAAATATTTTATGGCTTCTGTTATGATTATTCAAATTGTTGACCCTCTATGGAGTGTGTTCCAAATAAATTGACCAATATTGTTCATTTCGTATCGGACCTATATCGACTACTTGGATATGTGATCAATTTTTGGTACATTTTAACCAGACCAGATGTAGTCGATCGAAGTATACCATTTTCATACTTCATCTAAAACAGGTAAAAATATTGGAAAATACATAATTCAGTATATCAAAGAAATTAAATATTTATATCCAATTTTATGCGAAATCATAAATTGCGTATTCATCTAAGGTTTCGGGTCGAGAGAAATATTTAGATATACCAAGTGTTAAAGAATCGCTCACTTGTTTCGAAAGTTGTGACAGACAAAAGTGTTGACAATTGTGACGACTTGTGGGTGAGGTAGCAGAAGGGGTTCTCAGATATATATCATCTCCACAACAGATCTTCTGTTAGCAAAAATGTCATTCCGTTTGTAACTCATCGAAATAATCATTTTAGACCCAACAAAGTATATGTATTCTTGATCAGCGTAAAATTCAAAGACGATTTAGCCCTGTCCGTCCGTCTGTTGTAATCACGCTACAGTCTAAACGAATTAAGATAGGAAGCTAAAATTTTGCACAGATCTCTCTTTTGTCTGCAGGCAGGTCAAGGGCTATATCGGTCCACGATATCGTATATTCCCCATATAACTGTACCCTCGATATTCGGTATTTTGATTATGTTAGCCACATTTTTCAATGGAATTGTCTTAAAATCCACACAAGTAGTTCCTTGTGAGTACTTTACCCCCTAAGAGAGAATTGTCTATATAGGTCCACGATATCGTATATCACCCATATAACGGTACCCCCCGATATTCGGTATTTTGATGATTTTACCCACATTTTTCAACGGAATTATCTGAAAATCCACACAAGGAGTTCCTTGTGAGTACTTTACACCCAG